AGGAACTTACCTCAACATTGTAAAAGCTATATATGCTAAGCCTCAGGCTAGCATCATTCTAAGTGGAGAAAAACTGAAGGCATTCCCGCTAAAATCTGGAACAAGACAGGGATGCCCTCTCTCACCACTTCTATTTAATTTAGTCCTTGAAATACTAGCCAGAGCAATTAGACAGACTTCTCCTCCTGTTACAGGCTTYTTCCTGTTACAGTTTACACAGTCCTCAGGGTATACTCTGGGAACCCAACCAGAATTTCCAGCTTGCACAATCAACTGAAGCAGACCTGATATTGGAATGAGACTAGGATATCCCCCATGATGCAGCTCTTCCCTGGCATTTTGCTCCCATGAAGCAGTGATCTGAGACATAATCCTGGTCCCCCTTAAGACTCCCCTCTAAGGTGAGTCAGCCTTAGAGATACCACCCTCCTCAGCTGGGCAGCGCTCCCCAGAACAGAGGCACCACCTGTCCCTTCACCCCACATAAAGCTTTTGGAGAGCCCATAGGACTGTGAGAACCTTGCCCTCTGGAGGAATTCCACACACCCTCTCCACCSTGTAAGGAAGATTGCCAATCGAGACCCAAGGAGCAAAGTCCTAAAACAGGAGGAGGGGAGACTGGTTTCTGCCGAGGCTGGGCAGAGAAAGAAAGCCAGTGCCCCAACAGAAGCACCACCAGAAGCTGGTGCCATGGATGTCCTGGTCCGACTCCTGCAGCTGCTCATGCTGCTCCTGATGCTGCCCCTGCACCTGATGGCTCTGCTGGGCTCTGGCAGCCCCTGTGCAAAAGCTACTTCCCCTACCTGATGGATGCRCTGGCTGCCAAAACCAACCGAAGGATGGAGAACAAGAAATGGGAGCTCTTCAGTCAGAGAAAGAAGCTGATGGGAACCTCAGGGAAGGTGGCCCTGCTGGAGCTGGGCTGTGGCACTGGTGCCAACTTCTAGTTCTATCCTGCTGGCTGCAGCATCACCTGCCTGGACCCAACCCCCGACTTTGAGAAGTTCCTGAAAAGGAGCATGGCTGAGAACAGGCACCTCCTATATGAGCGGTTTGTGGTGGCCCCTGGAGAGGACATGAAACAAGTGGCTGATGGCTCCATGGACCTGGTGGTCTGCACTCTGCTGCTGTGCTCTGTGCAGAGCCCAAAGAGGGTCCTGCAGGAAGTCCACAGAGTGCTGAGGCCGGTGAGCAGAGTGGAAAGGACGTGGGCCTGGGACAGGCAAACAGCATTGGCCACCCCAGAGTTCGGGGGCCCCAGGAGGGGGAACTGAGGTCCTAATACATTAGACGCCTGCTGCTGAATAAGAGATGTGACCAGGGTGGGCCCAATAGGATGCTGTTGGGGCAGATAGGAGAGTCACCTAACAGGAAGTGGAGGGAGGTGGGAAGTCACCTAAGGAAGTGAAGTTTAAATTGAGATCAGAGGAATTAAACAGGACATGGARGGTGGGGAAATAAGTGTGCCAGTAGAGATATTAGGGGGAGTAGAATCCATACATTTGTTTTTTAAATCCATAATATTTCAAGTGGGGCATAGAGAGAGGGGAGTTTAGGATAGTTTCCAAGTTTCTGGCRTGAGCAACTGAAGGGATAATGGGTGCTAGACCATTTGCTGGAATGGAGGAACACTGTTTGGGACTTGTTAGATCCCAGGAGCTGCTGAGACAGCYAAGCAAGAAGCCATGTGGGCTGTTAGAGGGCTAGAACTGGAGGCAGGAAAAGATGCAGCGTGGAGATAGAGAGTTGGACATCGCCAGCTTGTAGCTGCTAATTAAGAGCTCAGGGGTGAGTGAATCACTAGGGGAGGGAATGGGAAGAGAAGAGCTGGAGAAACCCCCTGTGGTTATGAAGCAGGGTCTGGGGCTTCCCTGGGATGTTGGAGGAGATGTCAGGAACAGCTATGGCACGCACCTGAGTCTTGATAGAGAGGCCTGGTGCATCTGTATATAGTGAGCCATCTGCCCTTGTTTCTTACTCGCCCTCTGTCTGCCCTCTGGACCTTCTTTAAAGATCTCTCAGCAGTCCTTTCCCCCTCAGTTACAAGAGGTTCTTCACAGGCCCCTTGAGGGAGGGTAGGAGCCGGGGTTGCAGAAAATTCTGCCACGAGACCAGCGCTGGCTTCATGAAAGAAGGTTTGATTCATAAGTAATTGCTAGGGAGTTTTAAATTAAAGAGACAAAACTCTCATTACCTTTAATACCAGCTCTGGGATGGCTTCTCTTAGCTCCAGCCTCCAGCCACCTAATGTGGTGGYRGGGTTTACAGAAGAGTCTAGGGAGAGAGTGAACACGCCAGGGAGTGGGCTTTTCTTGGGGAAAAGAAATTCCAGGGAAAATCCCATCCAATGTAGGCTAATGGGGGCAGCATTCCAAGATCAGGGGTGACGACTGGGTCTTCAGGGCAGTGGCCAGACAGGCCTCTGCATGGGCAAGCCCTCGGACTTGGGAAAGGTTGGGAAAAGCTCTAACACAGCTGTGTCTAAGCGCCTCTCACCCAGCCAGGGAGGTAACTCAAATCACATTCGAGGATGGCCTCCCACAGAAAATGTCAGAGCAGCAGTTTGCTCCATAAACTCTCAGACCAGCTGCTCCCACTTCACTAAGAGATTTGGCCAGGCTTGATCAGAGGGAAGGAGGAAGGAGCAGGATGGAGCAGCTAGTGACACTGACCCTCTCCTCCCTCCCAGGGAGGAGTGCTGTTCTTCTGGGAGCACGTGGCTTATCCGCGAGGAAGCCAGGCCTTCATGTGGCAGCAAGTTTTTGAGCCCACCTGGAAGCACATTGGGGATGGCTGCTACCTTACCAGAGAGACCTGGAAGGACCTGGAGAATGCCCAGTTCTCTGAGATCCAAATGGAACGACAGCCCCCTCCCATCAAATGGTTACCTGTTGGGCCCCACATCATGGGGAAGGCTGTGAAATAAACTTCCATGGGGGGGGGTCATTTGCTCCCTCCCCTGTCCCCAGTCAGAAAAAGCCACCCACTGCCAAATCTGTCTTCTACTAAGAGGGATCTAATCAAGAATGAGAGAAGCTTCCCCTACCACCATCATCCCTRGTTCCTCCCTCCCTCTGCCAGAGGGGAATCTCTAGCTCTAAAAAAACCCAAAACAAAACAAAACAAAAACCCCCACCAAAACCAAAACCAAAACCCAAACCTATTCCTACCCTGACCAGAGAGAGAAAAACATTATACCTTGTCATTCCTTAACTAAAAATTCTCAGACTTCACCCATCCCTCTCCTAGGACAGCTCCCATCCCTTCCCTTGTCCCCATGGGAAAGGTCCCCCTGCCCTCCTTAAGTTACTCCTATGTGTCCCTGGGACTAGTCACAGAAGCCATGGTACTGCAACCCTGCCTGGCCACCCGAGTGTCCCTCCCCCCTACCACCTTTATCCTGAGCTGTGGGGTTACCAGAGAGAAGGGGAGACCCTGGGGAGGAGGGAGCAGCACTTAGCAAAGAAGCCAGAGGTTTTGTCTTCAATGTTTTTTAATAAATAGACAAAATCCACTAGACTGATGCAGCAAACTAAGGTCAGAGGAGAAGGGAAACTGAGGAGGGAGAAGCCCCTGAGTCAGCAACACAATCTCCTCCCTGACTGTCCTGCTAAGGCACTTTGGGGGAGACAGGTTACACAGGGGGAGTGGCAGAAGGAGGGATTCTGATCCCCACCATATAGCAGGACATCCCTGCCCTTCTTGCCCTGCCCCACAGCCCCATCCCTGGTTGATACCCTCTTGTCTCCCAGCATTCCAAGGGGAAGATCGGGCTGGTTCTCATGGGTGGRTGAGGTCTGTGCTCCTGAGAAAGCAGATCCTGCCAAATCTTGMGGCAGTGTCAGCAACCAATTCTACTCTCTTCATCCAGAGGAGCCACTCAGGAAGAGATGGAAGGGACCCTTGGGCCAGGCTGAGACCAAGGAAGCTAGGCAGTGCCTGGCACAGGGTGCACCTCAGGGCCCAGCTCAGGGTGCCCATCCGCAGCCAGGATGGGGTGTGCGTCAGGACTTTCCCGTCGGGGACTGCCCCAGTTGTTCCTCAAGATGGTCCCTGTCTTCTCTTCCTTGAACTGTTGCCGATCTTCATGGGGGATCTTCACTGCATGGTACTGGGGCACTGTGGTCTCGGGGTGCTTTGCCCGCTTGAAGAATCCCATCTATAAGGACGCCAAGCCAGACTATGAGGAGCTGCAGGGCTGAGGTCCTGGGGACACACACCCACAGCACAGAGCCTTGCCCCCACCACCCCTGGGAGAGAAACAACCAACTGAAGCAGAACAGAGACAGGCCAGCCAGCACCCAGCACCATGGGCAGCACCCAGGGTGACACCAGTGCCAGGGCTCCAGGTTCTTGTTCACAGCAAGAGGAAGATCAAGAGGGGGCCTGAGGAGCAGGAAAGGAAATCTCCTTGAGCCTCTGAAAGGGAGGCTTGGCGGTGGAAGAACATCAGGACCTCTAACTCCCAAGATTTCTATCCACCCAAGCTTCTTAAGAGGCCAACAGCATCCCCCATAACACTAACAAGATCTGAGGAGGAAATGGCTTCCTCAACACCTGCATACCTGGCCCCTTTGCGCCTTACACACCCCCTGTGTGCTTGTACACTGGGTAGCACCTCCCTTAGGTAGGGACCTCTCCTCCCTGAATCCAGTACTCCATCCCCTCCTTACATCATGACCATGCTGTCCTGCACACCAAGATGGCTATGTGGCCTTTCCATACTCATACTCAGAACTGCCCAAGACTCCCACAAGCTCAGGCTGCACAGCATCTCCTTGCACATTCATCTCTGCACACTCATGTCCACAGCAGAGAGGTGCACGGAGCCTCCCCACACTCCTACATGCTCAGCCATGAGTCCACCCAGCTCTTAGTGCATGCCCCCAGCTGTATACACACACCCTTATAACCTCAGCCTCCTAATGACTTCTCACCTCTGTCACTAGGACTCACATCACCCTCGTGAAAACACATTCCTTATTCCTGATCCCTGAATGTTAGAGCTCTGTTCATCCTCACATACATACATACATATCCATATGCACATACACATATTTGCATACACACTCATGCACGCACACAAGTTACCCCATAGACCCTGGACCCCCAACTTCCATGGCTGAGGGTTGCACGGCCAGATGGGCTCTGTGATAGCTGGTGGGGAAAGATGAGCTCTGACTGCTCCAATGGAAGAAGATGCATTAGGAAGTTGAGGGAGGAGGGGGGCAAAGTTTTAAAACTTCTGCATAGCAAGGAAATGATTAAGAGTATGAAGAGAGAGCCTACAGAGTGGCATAAAATCTTTGCCAGGTACTCTTCTGACAGGGAATCAGTGTCCAGAATATATAAAGCACTCAAAAAACATAACACCCAAACCAACAAGGGAACTCCTCCAATAACCGAATCAATAAATAGGCAAAAGAACTATATAGACATTTCTCAAAAGAAATATAAATTGCCAACAAATATTTGAAAAAAATGTTCCACAACTCTAGCAATAGCAAATCAAAACTTCATTGAGATTTCATTTCACTGCAGTTAAAATGGCAATAATCAATAATAAAAATAATAATAAATGCTGGTAAGGATGTAGGAAAAAAGGTATAATCATACATTGTTGGTGGGAATGAAAACTAGCACAACTAATTTGGGAAGCAGGATGGACATTCTTCAAAAGAGTAGGAATGGATCCACCATATGCCTAGGTATTACACTTCTTGGTATTTATCCAAAAGACCTAAAATCACCCTACTATAGGGATATAGGCACATCCATGTGAAATTCATAATAGCCAAGTTATGGAAGAGCCCAGGTGCTCATCAACAGGTGAATGGATAAAAAAATGTGGGTCATATATAAAATGGTGTTTTACTGAACTATAAAGAAGAATGAAATTATGCCATTTGCTGGTAAATAGATGGAATTGGAGAACATCATGCTAAATGAAGAAGCCAGACACAGAAAGTCAAAGATTTAATGTTTTCTCACATATGCAGAAGCTAGAGAGAAATATCAACTTAAAAAAGTAGTCTTATGAAAAAAATGGAGAACAGTGGAGTAGAGGAAGGGATCAAAGGGCGGGGCAAGGGAAATTGAGAAAGGGGGGAAACTGTGGAGTGAAATTTGCCAATTTAAGCTATGGACATATATAAACATACAACAGTGAATTTTACCTTTATGCATTTCTCTCAAGCACCAATTAAAAAAATAACAATAGATGGAGGACCAATAGAGTAGAGGAAGAGGAGGAGTAGGAGGGAGGAAGAGAAGGAAGGAGAAGTCACTGTGGACTGAAATGAAGCAAATTGTATTATGCGAATGCATSAATATGTCAAAATGAACCCAACTATTTATAATTCATTAATAAAAACATTAAAAAGGGTCTCATAAAAATAGAAGGGAGAACAATGGAGTAAAGGAAGGGGATTGAGGAGGAGTAAGAAGGAACAAGGAAAGGGGAGAAATTCGAAATACAATTGACAAAAGCATGCAGTGTGCATATATAAATATGTCATAGTGAATTCCACTTTTAAGTATAACACTTAAAAACAAATTAAAAGAAGGAAGACCAATAAGGTAAAGGAAGCAGGTGAGGGGGAAGGAGGAGGTATGGGAAGGAGGCATCACTGGAGATTGAAATGGAGCAAATTATGTTATATAATGTATTAATAGGTAACCCCCCAAATTATGTGTAATTATAATGCACTAATAAAATGTATATAATTAAAAAAAGAACAATGGGGTGGAGTAATATGGCTTTTTGTATGCTTCTGATATCCTAAATAGATTTATGTACTGAAGCTTTCTGATCAAGCCTATTGAGATCTTGGAGAAGCAGGCAATAGGTAAAAACATCAATGGTACTTAAAATACTTGGTCATGCTGAAGAGAGCAAATGTTAAAGTGTACTGGAATGGCTGCATGACTCAGTCGTTACACAGGTGCCAAAAATATTCAACTTCTGATTCTAGTCCAGGCACTTAGCTGTGTGTCCTTGCAGAAGCTGTTTCACTTTTCTTTTTTTTTTTATTTTATTTTATTTTTTTTTATTGTTGGTCATTCAAAACATTACATAGTTCCTCATACATCATATTTCACAGTTTGATTCAAATGAGTTATGAACTCCCAATTTTATCCCGTATACAGATTGCTGCATCACATCAGTTACCCTTCCATTGATTGACATATTGCCTTTCTAGTGTCTGATGTATTCTGCTGTCTATATTATTCTCTACTATCCCCCCTCCCCTCCCCTCCCCTCCCCTTTTCTCTCTCTACCCCTTCTACTGTAAATCACTTCTTCCATTTGAATTATCTTGTCTTACCCCTCCTTTCCTCTTATATGTCATTTTGTATAACCCTGAGGATCGCCTTCCATTTCCATGCGATTCCCCTTCTCGTTTCCTTTCCCTCCCACCTCTCAACCCTGTTAATGAAAATCTTCGTCTCAAGCTCTTCGTCCCTACCCTGTCCTTGTTTCCTCCCCTTATATCAGAGGAGTCATTTGGTATTTGTTTTTTAAAGATTGACTAGCTTCACTTAGCATAATCTGCTCTAATGCCATCCATTTCCCTCCAAATTCTATGATTTTGTCATTTTTAAATGCAGAGTAATACTCCATTGTGTATAAATGCCACATTTTTTTAATCCATTCATCTATTGAAGGGCATCTAGGCTAAGTTTCAGTTTCCCCATCTGTAAATTTTCTATGCAGAAAATTTTTTTTCACTTAAAAATATCCTGTCCTGGCTTCCCTCATCCATTTGTTTATATCGCCATCTATCCATCTATCATTCATTCATTCATTCAATAGCATACTCTTGCTTGGCATTACAGTCGGAATTGTGATCAAAAAGATATTATCTCTAGGCTGGACTTGTAGCGCAGTGATAGAGCACTTGTCTAGCATGTGTGAGGCATTGGGTTTGATCTTCAGTACCACATTAACAAATGAAAGTATAGAAATTAACTGCTTTATCAATTGTCTTAAAATTTCCACTTTCTTTTTTATTCACTTTTTCTTAAGTAGGAAATTGAACATATAAATTCATGTAAATAAAATGGTCATTAAAATGGAGTTTATGGACAATTGCAGGTTGTCATACAGTCTCCAGTGCCAAACAACAAACAACCACAAACAACCACACATTATTTTGGCTTAGATACTCTTTTGCTTGCTCTGTATCAATTTAACAACAGGTTGCAATTTATTTATTTCCAAGTTTCACTAGACTGGATTTTAATTCTTTGTTGGGTACCTAGTAACCGTCAGAGAGCTTGGTATATGGTTGATACCCATCCAGTTCCAAATCTTTAATTTTTAAGTTCTTTAAAGATTCACAAGCTTTTTGAGAATATCCTGGAAGGCTTGTTTTACCTGTTGGTTCCTTAGTGTGTAAATGAAGGGGTTCAACAAAGGAGCAACTGAAGTAATGAGTAGAGCTACTCCCTTGTTGAATGTGTCTCCTTCTGTTGAGGGTTTAATATAAATGAAGATGCAGCTTCCRTAAGAGAGGGAGATGACAATCATGTGGGAAGAACAGGTGGAAAAGGCCTTTGACCTCTGCTGGGCTGAAGGAAGCTTCAGAATAGCCCTGATGATAAATGTATAGGAGATAATCACTAGTACCAGAGTGACAATCAGGGTCACAGATGCCACAAGAAAGACTATCTTCTCCATGAGGCTAGTGTCTGAACAGGAGAGTTCTCGAAGAGGCTCAAAGTCACAGAAATAATGATTCAGCCTGTTGGATGCACAAAAGTCCTGCTGATTCATTAGAGTGAATGGTGGTATAATAACCATTAACCCAGCCAGCCAACAGYAGAGAACCAGCTGGGTGCAGACTCTGCCACTCATGATGATCGTGTAATGCAGGGGTTTGCAGATGGCCACATAGCGATCATAGGACATGGCAGCTAGAAGATAAAACTCTGTGGATCCAAGGAATATGGCAAAGAAGTACTGAGTGAAGCAACCAGCAAAGCTGATACTCTTGTTCCCTGTGGTGATGCTGAAGAGGACCCTGGGAATGAAGATGTTTGTGAAGGAAATTTCCAAGAAGGAGAAGTTCCGGAGAAAAAAATACATGGGAGTCTGAAGGTGGGAGTCCAACAAGGTGAGGATGAGGATAGTCAGGTTTCCAATGATGCTGAGAAAGTAGGTCAGGAAAAAAAAAGTGAAAATTGCCACTTGGAATTCAGGGACATCTGTTAAACCCAGAAGGATGAACTCAGTCAATATGGTTTTATTTTTCATTGTTGAATAGTTTTTGAGTCTCAAGGTAAAAAAGAGAGAAATCAAAGTGGAGAAGGGAAGAGGTGCTCTGAAATGGACATGGGAAATCTGAAGAGAACAAAATGGAGGGAACCATGAACTTTTCCTGTGATGACATGATCCAGATCAATGGCTCATTTGAATGGTGTTGACTTCTCCACAGTCCCTTTTGTAGGAAAATTCTTGTCATTATTTCCCAACACTGTACCCTCCCCAGTGCCTGCATGAAGCAAGTGGCTGCCTCACAGATGATGTTCAAGAAGTTCAGGTAGTCATTTAACAAAGGAATGCCTCGAGCTGCCGCCTCCTTCCAGAATAATTGCTAATTTCTTTTCCCCATCATTCACTTCCCCTACTTTCCACCGGTGCCATTCATTGCCTTACCTCCTTTGTTTGCTTAACTCCTCTCAGAATTGCTGTTTTCTTTTCCAAATCTCTCATTTTTCTTCTGGTTCAACTTCCTTAATTCTCTTGATGTCAGAGAAATGCCAGTTCCTCATTTCCTCCCAATGGACCCTCCAGTCTTTTCTGCCTGTGTCTGTCAACGAGAATTTGAAGTTCTCTGTGTTAGGCACATGTCATTCTGTCCTTTGGAACATATTCCTCACCTGTCAATATTAGCAGTAGCTTTATTGGGTAATAATCTGCATTTACTTACTCTAATGCATTCAGAATCTTTAGATATAGTTTTACTTTCCTGTAAGGATAAAGAGATTGCATCATATGCTAAGGATTTTTAGGAACTTAAGGATATTTAAGGCAGAAACTCTTAAGTAGGAATCCAGTAATTCCTAGATTAGATGTGCTACGTCTGTGAATCCACTATACCATGAGCACACCATTTTGTGTGAGTAGGTAACTTTTATGGGGAAAGTGTATAAAACTATGTTCTATGGTTTTCTATGAGGCTCTACATTTGAGCACTTTATGGGCATTTCAAGTCTTTACTTATTTGTGAGCTCATGTGGTTAAAGAGGCACTTTATCTGGGAATTTCCTCACTGATTTATTCAAGACTTTTTCTACTTATTGTTTTTATAAACATTTACAATGCAGCAGCTTCCAAGCATTTTTGATCATAATTCATTCTAAATTTTATGTATTTTTTCAGCCAACATATATAATTTAAAGAAAAGTTTTACAGCACACTTATTATTACATATTTCTATTTTATTATATTTTAATTTCCTTTAAAATATTGTTTGCAACTCACTAAATTGACAACATAACCCTCTAGTGGGTTGTAGTTCATTCACAGATGGAATCTGGGATCAAGAAAAATCACGCAATGCTTTGGATACCCTTGCCCTTCTGGTTACCAACCTGGAGTTTTTAGAGAGTGGCGGAGTATTCCCCTTTGCATAAGTTTCAGGATTCACAACCACAGAGAAGTAGTCAATGAGGCTACGAACAGTGAGCACACTTCCTTACTTGACCATCTAATTGGCCCAGGGAGATTTTACTCCTAAGTATTCTTAGAAGGAAACCAAAATTATAAGGCCACATAATTAAAAGATAATATAAACTTTATTGCATTTTCTACATTCTCTGCCATCAAATCCCATCATGGATTTCGAAAAACCCCACAAACTTCCAGGGCTTATCTTGATAAGAAGTAACCTTCTTCTGCTCCTGTACCTTCTTGWTTTATCAAGGATTTGATGGTTTCTGCTATTCCACTCAGTGAGACTGGAGTTGAAGAAAGAAGAGTTAATAAGTAGGAGGATAAAAGAAAAGATTTTTGAGAATAAAGTAGTTCTCGATTTTTCTGGCCTCGAAGAAATGAGGCTGTTGACCTCCGAAGGCAGAATATGAACTCTCTCTTACATCTCAAATATTCCTTATTCACAGCGACAGAGGTTATGTCTACTTTGTTGAGAACATGCACTGGGGGATCAATTGAATGTAAAAGCACAAGTTTCCCTGGGGATGCTTGTTTGGAACAGGTTAATGAGTGTCCTTGTTGACAATTTGGGAATGAGCTTTATACATATAGCTGAGCCAAGTTGGTCCAGAGAGACTAGAGGGTCTGGAGAGATGGGTTGATGTGGAGACGGTGGGGGTCATAGCAAGAGAGCATCAGAAGAGGAAGAGTATGAAGTGTTATTATCCTTCCCYAGTGGATGGGCACAGCTGATCTTGACTTGGATAAGCAGACTGGGTGGAACCATTGTCAGATCATGGAAATCCTGAAAAGCCACATTATTAAAAAACATCACTGGCCTTGTTTCAGTTAGCTCACTTACAGACTATTGGTTAGAGACACGTCAGGAGCAGTTTTCATTTTTTTGAAGGATGCATAAAGAAATGAAATACAAAACAACAACAACAACAACAAAAAAGTGGAATGGTCAAACTGAAGTAAGGATAGAAGCCCACACTGAGAAAATGCTTGCAGCTCTCCAGTTTACAGTAGCGGAGAACTTGTTAAGACATGTATTTATTTCCTAGGAAGACTGACACATTGCTATCCAAGGACTTCTTCACAGCAATTAATTTATTAGGTTAATAAATACAAACACCAGGAAAATCAATTATAGCTTTAGAAATAAAATGCCAGAATTATGGACAAAATAACCACTACACATGCCTTACAAATGTCTTTTTTTATACATGGTTTTATATATATTTCATAATGGGGAGGCCAAGAGAGGAAATGTGGTCAACCAAATAATCAAGTATCTTTTTTTAAAAAAATTAACTAATTTCATATTTTGATTGACATGTAGTATTTGTATATGTTTAAGGTACAATGTGATGTTTTGATTTCTGTATACATTGGGTTACTTTAACATTTCTTTGTGAGGTATATCTTTGAAATCCTTTCTTCTAACTATGTTGAGATATATAATGCATTATTGTTAATCATATTCACCACCCCATGCCACAGAACATCAGAATTTATTCTTCTTGTGTGCCCATTACCAATCTCTCTGCCTGCCCCAATTACCTCCTCTTATACTCCCTTGTTGTTGGTATACACTATTCTATCTCAATCTCCCTAAGATCTATTTTTTTTAGATACCACATATAAATCAGCTCATATGGYATTTGTCTTTCTGCCTGACTTACTCAATTAAACCAATATCTTTCAAGTCCATCCATATATTTTTTTTAAAAAGTAAAGGATTTCATGCCTGAATATAATAGAAATTCATTGTGTATACAAATCACATTTTATTTTCATCTTCTTTTCCTTCTTATTTTTTTGCAGTACTGGAGATTGAACTCAGGGACTCTCTACCACTGAGCTACATCCCCAGCCCTATTTCTTTCTTTTCTTTTTGTACTTTTGAACCCAGGGTGCTTAACCACTGAGACACATCCCCAGCCCTTTTTACTTTTTATTTTGACACACGGTCTTGCTAAGTTGCTCAGGATCTTGTTAAGTTGTTGAGGGTGGCTTTAAACTTGTCATCCTCCTGCCTCAGTTTCCAGAGTCATTGGGATTACAGGTGTGCACCACCACATCTGGCCTCAGCTCTATTTATTTCTTATTTTGAGTCAGAGTCTTGCAAAGTTGCTCAGTTGGCTTTGAAGATGTGATCGTCCTGCTACATCTTCCCACTTTTCTGGTATTATAGGTATGCACCATCATACTTACCTCATACTACAATTTCTTTATRTATTCATTCATTGATAGACATTTAGATTGATTCCATATCCTAGATGTTTTGAATAGTTCTGCAATAAACATGGGAGTACAAGTATATCCTTATTTGGAACAGGCTAATGGATGTCCTTTGTTGACAATTTTGGGAACAAGCTTTACACATATAACTGAGGAAAGAGGGTCCAGAGAGATGAGTTGGGAGGAGGGTTTGTAGGGAAGGTGTAGGGGGACAAGGTGATTTCATTTTCTTTGGGTATATATCCTGTAGTGGTATTGCTAGATCAGATGGTATCAATTTCATCTTAAATTACACAACAATCTTCATATCTCTCATTTTCCTGTTCTGTAAAATAGGATCACAATACCTATTAAATAGAAATATAATAGTTAAGGGTGTGGATTAGTACCTGGTACATAGGATATGCTTCCCAAATACTTCCCATTTTTTATTTTCCACTAAATAAATATCCCAAAACTATATTTGGCAATAGTTCATTTGTTTCTTTMAAATATGTTTATAGAGAAGAAAGATTTTTTCAAATATGTTTTTAGAGTTAGCAACTTTCCGTAAGTCGCTATTGGAAACCATTTAGCTMTGACAGATTATAAATGCTTTGTTTAAGGAAATCTCTTTCCCTAGAGATTAGGAAAATAGAAAGGATAGCAGAAGAAGTAAGTTGAGTGAGYGGTCATGTCTCATGAGTTACTCTAAACTGCAAATTGTGCAGATTTGAATTTGGGAACAAGAATCAGAAATAAGACAAGGAGAGCAAGAAGTGGAAATATGCTTCAGGGAGTGATTCATGGAGGAAATTATTTGATAATATTATTTGAAAAGGCTGGACTGTGTTAGTCAACTTTCTATCGCTGGGACAAAATACCTGAGATGAACAAATTAGAGGAGGCATTATTTATTTTGGATCATGGTTTCAGAGGTTTCAGTTCATAGTTGAYTGGCTCCAGAGCTTTTAGCAGAACATCATGGTAGGAACCAAAGCCACTCACTTTGTGTTGGCCAGGAAGCAAAAAGAGAGAGGGGAGGGACCAAGGTTCTCAAACCCCTTTCAAGGGCACACTCCAATGTCCTAACTTTCTTTCCACTAGGCCCCTACTCCTAAAAGTTCCACCACCTTCTAATAGCACCATTATCTGGGTCCAAGCCTTCAACACATGAGTCTTTGGGAGACATTTGATTTCAACCATAATAGGCTGTTCTCCAAAGGTTAGAAAGAACCTATTTTGCATGATAAGTAAGTGATTAGGATAAATGTGACCAAAAGAAGATAGCAGTTGTTTTAGAAATTATAACTTTTTTTTGAGAAAGCCTTCTAATGTCAGAAGTTTCTAGTTGCTTATTTTATAGGTTTTAT